TCTCTAGTTTATTTTCTCAAACAATGTCAGTGTCATCTGCACAGCCAACTATTCTGGTAGTCTGTCCTGTTGCACACTCTTGTTTCATAAACTGTTTCAATGAATATCTGATCTATTGTTGAACTGTTCTGTCGGAAACCCACTGGGTAATCTCCCAATTTGTCTTCGACGTATGGTTTTAGCCTGCTTAGCAGTGCCGACGATAGTATCTTATAGCTTGTAGATAATAGTGATATTCCTCTATAATTTTCTCAGTTTTTCTAAATTCCTGATCGTTATGATGAGTTTTTGCTACTCATCTCTTGAAAAAAGCTTCCCTTTTCTCTTTGCCTGGCGTCAATGGCATACCATTATCAGTTTATATAAGGCTATTTGTGACATTAGGAAAACAACACAATGAGACAGAGTTATTTAAGTTTTTAGGAGCATTTTCACATCTGACATAAAAATGGACACAAAATTTCCCTTGAGATGTGCCAAAGGTAATCAAGTAATGGGGCAACTATCTTCCCTGTTGACAGACAAGGAGATACCCTGGAAAATCAAAGTGAATCTTATCAGAAATATTTGTGTCCAACACTATGCTAGCAGTACCAGACATGGACACTTACATTTTCTAATGAACCAACAATTGTGACAACAGAGAGGAAATGGGTTAGAAGAGCTGCAGGAGTTTTAAGGAAAGACAGAATAAAAAAAAAAAAAAGACAAATAAAACCAGTCTTACAGATCATCAAAGAAAAACAAACAGTGGTTTAGACACTTAACAAGAATGCCCTGGTACTATCTTCCACAGCGAGCCACACTGGAACGTTACAACGGGTATAGAGCGAGTGGAAGACATAGGAAAATATGGAGTGATGGCATTGAGAACCGCCTTACATAAATGAACATCAGTCTTAATAGTGCTCTTGACAGAGCTTATCAACAAATGTTTGCATGTCCCCCTGACACACGGCTGAGCTACAAGATGGAAGAGAAAAAAGAAAAAGAAGAAGAAGAAATAGAAGAAGAAGAAGAAGAAGAAGAAGAAGAAGAAGAAGAAGAAGAAGAAGAAGAAGAAGAAGAAGAAGAAGAAGAAGAAGAAGAAGAAGAAGAAGAAGAAGAAGAAGAAGAAGAAGAAGAAGAAGAAGAAGAAGAAGAAGAAGAAGTAGAAGAAGAAAGAAGTAAGAAAGAAGAAGAAGAAGAAGAAGAAGAAGAAGAAGAAGAAGAAGAAGAAGAAGAAGAAGAAGAAGAAGAAGAAGAAGAAGAAGAAGAAGAAGAAGAAGAAGAAGAAGAAGAAGAAGAAGAAGAAGAAGAAGAAGAAGAAGAAGAAGAAGAAGAAGAAGAAGAAGAAGAAGAAGAAGAAGAAGAAGAAGAAGAAGAAGAAGAAGAAGAAGAAGAAGAAGAAGAAGAAGAAGAAGAAGAAGAAGAAGAAGAAGAAGAAGAAGAAGAAGAAGAAGAAGAAGAAGAAGAAGAAGAAGAAGAAGAAGAAGAAGAACAAAAAGAAGAAGAAGAAAAGAAGAAGAAGAAAAAGAAGTTATAGGCCTATCCTTTCTTCGCATCAGTTTGAGAATTTTCCCAAACCTGCCCAGTGATTAATCCCCTCCCAGTTTAGCTGATAAAATGTCCCCATTCAACCCTTCTTTCATCTGCTGCACACCTCTTCAACTCTTATTCATTTGTCATAGCAGCGAATATTTCCCTCTATAGTCTAACTCTAATTAGTCTTTCACCCATTTGTCCCCCCTTGCTGTCCATTATAAATTATGTAAATACAATATTATGCAACAATATATTACAACATATAATAATAATGTATAATAATACACAAAGTTTTATAATTAATGAACTAACTAGCAAGGCCTTGGCGAGATGTGACTGAACTACCGAATAACAGTAGCCAGTACTACCTGCCTTCTGTTAACGCTCATTGTTGGGCGGCGTATACCAAACCTGGCATCCCGTATTATACCAGCGGCTTCAGGCAGAGGGGCCAATTGGGGAGGATACTAGCCTTATCCTAGGAAGAGGAAATGCAACCTGAAAGCTTTATGTTATGGCAGGCTAGACCAGGCCCTTAGCCTTGGCTGGCAGCGGGTCTAGAATCGAAGCTCTGACATGTGTACAGAGCACTGTTCCTTTTCTGATCCGGCAGCTTCTTCTGCAGCCTGTATGTTGCAAACGTAATGGTGTTACCTTTCCTTTGGAGTTAGCAAGGCAGGTCACGTGAAGGATCAGGATGCATGGACAATATATTGTCTCTACATTACAGCCCTGGCTGTGTGCTATGGACAGGATGATCTCAAACACTGAGGTCTTGGGACAAACACGATCTACAACAGTATTCTCATTACTCAGTCTACGAAGGCTCAGATGGCTGGGTCACACCAGGAGAATGTAGGGTCCCTAAGGACATCCTTTATGGTGAATCAAAGAGGGTAGAAGATGTTGAGGGCGACCACCTACTACGATATAATGATGCATGCAAGCGGGACTTGGATGATACAGGGATTGAGGTGTACTAGTGAGAATAAAATGCCATGGCCCGTACTGTGTGGAGCTCAGACACCAGGATAGGACTGAGAATGAAGGAAGACATGATTGCAGAAAGGATGACAGCCGAGCGTCTGAAAAGAGACAGTGTATACACACATGTTGACAACAGTGGTCCTGAAATCCCATGCTGTAATTGTGGAAGACTTGTCTGAACACGAGCCGGTCACACTCGTCATCACCCAAAACCTCAATGTAGCCGAATACGATACTATCGTCTGGACAGAGGAAAGAAATGTAGCCGAATACGATACTATCGTCTGAACAGAGGAAAGAAATGTAGCCGAATACGATACTATCGTCTGGACAGAGGAAAGAAATGTAGCCGAATACGATACTATCGTCTGGACAGAGGAAAGGTGCAAATCGTAATTCTTTAATGCGTTTTATACTTCAGCTTGTCGTTGATCATCTCTAGTAACTTCTTTAAATAGTTTTAGTATCTGTAACAACTGACTGGCTTAGAGTGCTGTTTGAACTAACTAGCTAATAGTCAGCTCTAACATCTGAGTGATGTTTCTATAAAATGTGTCTTTGTTGACTAAGGATTCGCTTGTCTTGTCTGTTCTTCCTGTAGTTCATTATCTCGTCTTCTGTGTCTTCTCTAGTCTCGGATGATCCATGTGACTGCTTCCTCTTATTCTCGTGTTGAGCTGGCATCTCCACAACTGAGACTACTTCCTAGCATGCGAAGATCTACTACTGATCAGCCTTCTTTCTGGTCCACTGGACTAAATGTTCTCGTCTCTCAGGGTCCGCATGACAAATTCAAGGAGGAAAAAAAAAGGCAAAGGTGGGGGAATGAGGGAAAAATCACAGGGAAACAACGGACTGGCTGACTGACTTTCTACCCTACCAGGACATCACACAAGCGATAAACACCCGATGACACAAAGTGCCACCATGTGGGCGAGGATCACCGTGGAGAGGTCCCAGAAACCGCGTTCAGTCATTAGACTATATTTATAGCCGGGCTATATTGCCAGTAGGGCTTCAAATAACGAAAAATGTCATCCTTAAAAAAAAAAAAAAAAGGACGGGAAGTGATTGTTGGCAATAGGAAACAATGGGTACTTTTAACCTATGATTAAGAAGAGCCTTTGGTAAAAACGGATTGAATATGTGTTCTCTCTACTTTGCTCCATGAGCTTTCTGGACATTGTTTAGTGAATAATTGGTTGATAATAGCTAGTCTGCACTGAGCACAATATTCATGCAGGTGCTTCTGTTTGAGCTGTCCGTACTGGCCTGAAAGTTACATAAACAAGTGGATATTGATCATACAAGACAAAGACAACAAAAGGCTAGTCGCCATAAAATAACAACCCGGTGACAAAATTTACCCAGAGGATTTATTTCCCTTGTACACGATTACTCTGTGAGACTGAATTGAGGAATGCATTGTATGTTTAGGGAGATGTTCGTGTTTCACAACGATCTACAGTTTGGGGAGATGTTCATGTTTCACAACGATCTACAGTTTGGGGAGATGTTCATGTTTCACAACGATCTACAGTTTGGGGAGATGTTCATGTTTCACAACGATCTACAGTTTGGGGAGATGTTCATGTTTCACAACAATCTACAGTTTGGGGAGATGTTAATGTTTCACAACGTTATACAGTTTGGGGAGATGTTCATGTTTCACAACGATCTACAGTTTGGGGAGATGTTAATGTTTCACAACGATCTACAGTTTGGGGAGATGTTAATGTTTCACAACGTTATACAGTTTGGGGAGATGTTCATGTTTCACAACGATCTACAGTTTGGGGAGATGTTAATGTTTCACAACGATCTACAGTTTGGGGAGATGTTAATGTTTAACAACGTTATACAGTTTGGGGAGATGTTCGTGTTTCACAACGATCAACAGTTTGGGGAGAGGAGATGTTCATGTTTTACAAAGATCTACAGTTTGGGGAGATGTTCATGATTTACAACGATCTACAATTTGGGGAGAGATGTTCATGTTTTACAACGATCTACAGTTTGGGGAGATGTTCATGTTTCACAACGATCTACAGTTTGGGGAGAGGAGATGTTCATGTTTTACAACGATCTACAGTTTGGGGAGATGTTCTTGTTTCACAAAGATCTAAAGTTTAGGGAGATATTCTTGTTTCACAACGATCTACAGTAAATTGGTTGCTTCAGGAAGGACAGAATATACTGGTCCTTGTAGTCGAGCGTTACACGTTCAGGAGTAGTAAGTATTGCATCTTGTTTTGTTCTGTTATCATTCTATTTTAGAGTCCAGTTTGGTATCTGTATTGCCTAGTCACCTGAAGCGTATTGCTCACTTAAACGGATATAATACAATGTATCAACGGTCATGTATGTGAAAGTGTCTCTATATCTATGTGTGAGTGTAACAAAAAAGGGGGCATGTGTGGTAAGATTGAGACAGTCATTAAGGCACCACAGGGTTATGTATGAGAGCATAGAACGATGTAGTAAAGATGTTATTGAACTTGGCACCGGTTCCTGACCACTGCAGTGTCCTTGACGTTGGGGGCGTTCTCTACATACTGTCGGATCTCCGCCGGCAACAAGGGCACGTTACCGTAGGTATCTACCGTCATGCCTTTCACAAACAGTTTCATTGTTGGAACACTCAACACTTTCTGTTTCCTGCACAGTTCTCTTTCCTTGGTGCAGTCCACTGCTGCAAAGACGTGATTCTCTTTCTTTGTGACTTCTGCAGCCTGTAGAGACAACAGGCAATTTGATTTCAGTAAACAACAGGCAATCAAAGAATGAGTAAACCACAGGCAACTGGAGATTTAGTAAACAACGGGCAATCAATGATTCAGTTTAAAAAACAACAACAGGCAATTAAAAATTTACTAAACAACAGGCAATTAGAGGTTGAGTAAAGAAAAACCAATAAGAGACTAAGTAAAAAAATAGGCAGTCGGAAATCGGGCATAGGACAGGCAATCATAACTGGGTAAACAACAGGCGATCAGAGACTGGGTAAACAAAAGGCAATCGGAGACTGGGTGAACACCAGGCAAACAGAGACTGGGTAAACAGCAGGCAATGAGAGACTTGGTAAACAACAGTCACTTAGAGATTGGGTAAACAACAGTTAATCAGAGACTGGGTGAACAACAGGCAATCTGAGACTGAGCAAGCCACACGCAATCGGAGATTGAGCTAGCTACAAGGAGTCAGAGATTACGCAAACAACGTGGAATTAGATATAAAGTAACCAGCAGGGAACCAGAGATTGAGTAAACAGCAGGTAATCAGAGATTGAGTAAACAACATGAGATAAAAGATTGGGCAAACTGCAAGGAGACAGAGATTAAAGTAAGCAATAGAAAATCAGAGAATGGGGTATTTTTTGTGGCTGAGTGCTCTACTCAGTGGGGTATTCTTTGTGGCTGAGTGCTCTACTCAGTGGGGTATTCTTTGTGGCTGAGTGCTCTACTAAATGGGGGTATTCTTTGTGGCCGGGTGCTCTACTAAATGGGGGTATTCTTTGTGGCTGAGTGCTCTACTCAGTGGGGTTATTCTTTGTGGCTTAGTGCTCTACTCAATAGAGGTATTCTGTGTGGCTGAGTACTTTACTGGCTGGGGTATTCTTTTCGGCTTTGACCGTAGCAGCAGACCGGGAACTTTTCCACCAACGATGTGTTGACTGCCGCTCCTCTTGCGCACAGCTTCATTGTCAGGTAGGACTGCACGTACTGGGACTGACAGAGACGGGAATCTTTAGTACAGTTCACGGTGGCAACATATGACAGGGTCTCCTAGTGACCAGCTTCCGTGTGTCACCGAAAGAATACAAAAAACGTTCAGTGTGGCAGGCAAGGGATCCACGAAAGGTATGCCAGAAGTCAGGTTTAGTGTGGCAGGCAAGGGATCCACGAAAGGTATGCCAGAAGTCACGTTCAGTGTGGCAGGCAAGGGATCCACGAAAGGTTTGCCAGAAGTCACGTTTAGTGTGGCAGGCAAGGGATCCACGAAAGGTTTGCCAGAAGTCACGTTTAGTGTGGCAGGCAAGGGATCCACGAAAGGTATGCCAGAAGTCAGGTTTAGTGTGGCAGGCAAGGGATCCACGAAAGGTATGCCAGAAGTCACGTTTAGTGTGGCAGGCAAGGGATCCACGAAAGGTTTGCCAGAAGTCACGTTTAGTGTGGCAGGCAAGGGATCCACGAAAGGTATGCCAGAAGTCACGTTTAGTGGGCAAACAGTCTGCAATGTGTTGGGGCTACTGTTTTGACAAAGACATTTGTAAAAGAAAAAAATCAAAGTAAGAGAGATAAGCAGAAAAAACAATATGAGCTAAAAAGCAAGTGAGATGCATGCAACAGAGACAAGCTGAGGCTCGGAATGCCGAACACGAAGGCTGGTGTTGATGACTATGTCAAAAAGAAAAGCTTAGAAATGCAGTAAAGATTTTTTTTAATACTTAACTATCAAAGACCCAAAAAGCAAAGCAACTGTCGATCGATTGTTTGAAACCTAAGGTATTCCTGTTTGTAATTTTAACAGTTTAGTTCACCATAGCACAACGATTTTAATCTGTGCCCAATTTTCAACCCATTAAAAGCAAATTTATTTCGTTCATCAGTGGAGTCTCTAATTGTCTTTACAACATTTAGTGGCAAACAGACATCCCTGCGTGGACAAGTAAGAGTGCAATAATGACCTCAACGTTCATAGTGACCACTTAGTCAGATGATAACAGACTGACCACTGAGGATGTGATGATAACAGATTGACCACTGAGGATGTGATGATAAACGAATGAATACTGAGGGTGTGATGATAACAGATTGACCACTGAGGGTGATGACAACAGATTTACCACTGAGGATGTGATGATAACAGATTGACCACTGAGGATGTGATGATAACAGATTTACCACTGAGGATGTGATAATAACAGATTGACCACTGAGGGCGATGAAAATAAGTTTCCCACTGAGGGTGTGATGATAAACGAATGAATACTGAGGGTGTGATGATAACAGACTGACCACTGAGGGTGTGATGATAACAGACTGACCACTGAGGGTGTGATGATAACAGATTGACCACTGAGGGTGTGATGATAACAGATTGACCACTGAGGGTGTGATGATAACAGATTGACCACTGAGGGCGATGAAAATAAGTTTCCCACTGAGGATGTGATGATAAACGAATGAATACTGAGGGTGTGATGATAACAGACTGACCACTGAGGGTGTGATGATAACAGACTGACCACTGAGGGTGTGATGATAACAGATTGACCACTGAGGGTGTGATGATAACAGACTGACCACTGAGGGTGTGATGATAACAGACTGACCACTGAGGGTGTGATGATAACAGACTGACCACTGAGGGTGTGATGATAACAGACTGACCACTGAGGGGTGTGATGATAACAGACTGACCACTGAGGGTGTGATGATAACAGACTGACCACTGAGGGTGTGATGATAACAGACTGACCACTGAGGGTGTGATGATAACAGACTGACCACTGAGGGTGTGATGATAACAGACTGACCACTGAGGGTGTGATGATAACAGACTGACCACTGAGGGTGTGATGATAACAGATTGACCACTGAGGGTGTGATGATAACAGATTGACCACTGAGGGTGTGATGATAAACGAATGAATACTGAGGATGAGATGACAACAGATCGACAACTGAGGGTGTGATGACAACAGATTGACCAATAATGGTGATGATAACAGTTTGGCCACTGAGTGTGTGATAATAACATATAGATTACTGAGAGATACGATAACAGATTGACCACTGAGGCTGATGATAACAGATTGACCACTGAGTGTGATATGATAACATATAGATTACTGAGAGATACGATAACAGATTGACCACTGAGGCTGTGATGACAACAGATAGACAACTGAGGGTGATGATAACAAATTGACCCCTGAGGGTTTGATGATAACAGATTGACCACTGAGGGTGATGACAACAGACTGACCACTAACAGCTATGAAAACAGATTGACCACTGAGGGTTTGATGATAACAGATTGACCACTGAGGATATGATGATAACAGATTGACCACTGAGAATGATGATAACACACTAACCACTAAGGACTATGATAACATATTGACCACTGAGGGTTTAATGATAACAGATTGACCACTGAGGGTGACGATAACAGATTGACCACTGAGGGTGTGATGACAACGGATCGACCACTGAGGGTGTGATGATAAAAAGTTGACCACTGAACGTGGGATGATAACAGATTGACCACTGAGGGGGATAATAACAGATTGACCACTGATGGTGTGATGACAACAGGTTGACAAATAATGGTGATGATAACAGACTGACCACTGAGGGTGATGATAACAGATTGACCACTGAGGGTGTGATGACAACATATAGATTACTAAGAGTGACGATAACAGATTGACAACTTAGGGTGTAATGACAACAGATAGACCACTGAGGGTGATAATAACAGATTGACTTCTGAGGCTGTGATGATAACATACTGACCACTGAGGGTGTGATGATAACAGATTGACCACTGAGGGTGTCATGATAACAGACTGACCACTGAGGGTGTGATGATAACAGACTGACCACTGAGGGTGATGACAACAGATTGATCACTGAGGGCGATGATAACAGATTTACCACTAAAGACGACCTTAAAAGATTGACCTATAGTGAGGATGGACAATGATAAAATTATGACCACTGGAGTGGCCCAGCAGATCACTGACAAATAATAATGTAACACTGACCACTTAATGCTAATTCAGTACTGACCAATGACAAAAATCATAGATGAAGTGAAGTGACGAAGATGAAATAACAATGACTTCCAAGTGTAAAAAAATACCGACTGTTGACAATGAAAGTTGAATGATAAGGGTTGACACTAGTGGCCACTTATGATGACGATAATTCAGAACTGACCACTTAGACTGTAACGCATCGACAAATGACTTTTTGCATGCACATTCAAACAAGCCGCCACAGAAACCAGAGATTGGCTCACCTTTTTCACACCTGCTTTAGCCCAAGCGCCATCCTCGTCACCAGGATCATAAAACAACACGAACGCTGCATCCACATCTTTAATAAATTTTGTGAATGTCTTTGCCGTGAGTCCAACAACGACGCTGGACCCCACATAGTCATCATGGGGTCCCGGCTTGGCGAATGGATTAGTAATCTGTGAAAATGCTTGGTCGTCATCCGTTTCGCGTGGGGGAAATTTTGTTCTTGGCAATGGCACGGGAGGTTTTCTTCTGGGTGGCACTGGCGGTGGTGGTCGCAGCAGAGGCGATGGTGTGTCTAGATGGTATTCAAAATTTGTTCCGGATCTTATGCTTCCCTGACTGGTAAAAAAAGTGTCAGGGTCAAATTTATAGCGTGCTGGAAACATGGGAGATTCCTGTTTTCTTGATGGACTAAATGAAAACGGATTTGACTCAGCGGCGTGGAGTTCGGCATCCGAAGGGGTACTTATTGGAAGCTGGACTGGGAAGTTGGGCGACCACGGATCATAGTAAACGGTAGAGTCCATATCATACCCTCCGTCTTCATACGGGGGAGTGGGCGGTACCGGTGGAGGTGGCGGATAATTGTCCAGCGAACTTAGGGGGCGTGCTGGAGGTATCTGTTTAAAACAGGCTCGTTTTCTGGCAATAGGAGGTTTCTTTTGAAGGGATCCATCAGGTATTTGATTAAAAGTGGCTCGTATTTTAGCGAAGGACTCACTTGCTGGAGCTGTTTGATTGAACCCAGCTGGTTTTCTTGCTCCAGCAGGTGGCTTTGCTATCGATTCGCTAAGCATTTGATCAAAAGTAGCTCGTTTTTTAGCGAAGGACTCCTGTGCTGGATCTGTCTGACCAAAACCAACTGGTTTCTTAGGAATAGGAGGTTTTTTAAACAGAGATTCTGTAGGTATTGGATACAATCCTGGTCGTCTGTCACCTCTGGGATTCTCGGTCGACATGTTTGTGGTAAGGCCGGGGCGGTATATTAGCTAAAGGTCTGATTGATGGTTAAGAGTTAATACACCAAGCTTTTCACACCGGATAGATATAACGGCTACTCGAGGTACGGGGATTCATACTTTGCGCACGATGGAATCGATACTTTGTTCACGGAGATTAATACTTTGTACATGTAGATTGATTCTGTGGGGGAAGATCTCTCATGTGTATGTGTTTTAGTGCTGCTGATCAACAGATGAGGCAGGTCTTCAATGAACCGTGTGTACTTGTATGTTTATCAAAGATCTACACTATAGGGCAGAAAAGGAAATGAATGCTACCAGATGACGTCAGTTAACAAAGATTAGTTTATTTATCCTTGCCTCACTTAGGCTATCTGAGAGATTACTAATGTAAGTGTAATGACATTTAAGGCACTGTATACTTATCATGTATTTGTTCTCCTGAAAAGACCTTGAGTTAAGTGGACGGCCGAAGGAATCAAGGCTGATAATTTACAACCGGAGGGTAATAACGTTCGGAAAAATATCCTATATGTGACCAGTAACTATAGTCAGATGGCACAGCGGCCTAACCTGGTATGCAGGGCAGTCTTGTCTCTCGGAAACAGGAGACTCGTTCATCTTCACCATCAGATTTTGAGCTGGAGAAAATATTCCCTACCTGTGTATGTTGGTCTCTGATCAGGTGTGTCTACAAGGCAAGTTTTCAGAAACTGATGATTTCAAGGGGTGTTTAGTTCTGGTATTATAGAGAGCTGGAGAAAACTGCGAGCAGACTGTAGGGCCGGCCCCGGCCTAACGATACGTGCCTATTGGGGCTATGACGTGACGTCACGAGTGGGGCACGGCAGGGTGCTGCTGCGTGCAGGCTGCTAGTTGGTGCGCATGTGTGTGCAATTCCTGGAGTGAATGTGCGTCTTCTTGAAGACCTGTCAAACGACTGCAGCATCGTTTTGTAGGTTCCTTGCAGAAAGTCTTTGTATGAAAATCTGAAATAAACTCCGTCTCGATATTTCTCTTCACTTTTGACAAAAGTTACCATATATATCTGACGCCAAGCTCCATCCTACTATATCCCTCTGTCTCTTTGTTGGGAACATACCGTCTGCTACTGTTGGAATCAATTTTCCGTTGCGCTTGATACAGCTGAAATGTTTTAGTTGACCAGACAAGACGCTGTTTACAGTCTAATTGTTATGCAGTTTCAGATTGTTTAGGCTGCCAGTATTTTTTTTTTTTCTTTACCACGTTTATATTGGGGAACATATACATTTCTTTAGTAGGTCGGAGATAAAGCATAACCGAGGTACTCTTGGGTATCTAAACAGATCGTCGGTTATGTGCTGCGCTGAAACCCCTGTTACACGTTCATTAAAAAAAAAAACATCCTTCCCTGTCATTCGTTTCCAACATCCACACTGGCGTGGTCTGGGCGTGCTCCACTGGCGTCGCCTGGGCGTGCTCCACTGTTCCAACATCCACACTGGCATCGTCTGGGCGTTCTCCACTGGCGTGATCTGGGCGTGCTCCACTGGCGTGGTCTGTGCGTGCTCCACCTACGTGGTCTGTGCGTTCTCCACTGGCGTGGTCTGGGCGTGCTCCACTGGCGTGGTCTGGGAGTGCTCCACTGGCGTCGCCTGGGCGTGCTCTACTGTTCCAACATCCACACTGGCATCGTCTAGGCGTGCTCCACTAGCGTGGTCTGTGCGTGCTCCATTGGCGTGGTCTGGGCGTGCTCCACTGATGGCAAACAAAGATGCCCTTAAACTTATATTTCATTCATCCTAGGTCATGTTCACAGTAGACGAGGAGTGCAAATAGTGGCCGGGGAAGGGGTGGGTGGTTGATGCGGAGGTGGAAGTCCAACAGTTGAATAAGTCCTAATCTAACGGTCACCAGTCCAAGAATAAGCAAAAAATGACCAGCGACCAGGAGCAATTACGTCCGTGTGAAAGTGAAATACAACTGGATGTGAAGATGACAGTATCAACATTGTTGGGCTGCGTTAAGAAGAGACATCATCACATAACAGAAATACATTATCAGTGCTGCCACTGGTGCGTGGACACACACAAATACAACTAATAGTTTTGACTAAACTCTTTATCCACGGAGTGCTATCAACAGAACAATCTGTGACTGAAAAACTAATACGGACAAGACAACAGAGTTTCCTAAAAACCAAGGTAACAAAAAATAAAGAAGTTATTGGGGCTGGGGGAGGAGGGAAAGGGGGGGGGGGTGGGGAGAATGTGAAGACGGACATACTGACTTTCTACTCCACCCCTTATAAAACAGCACAAGGAGCGATAAACACCTGGTGACACAAGATGCTGCCATTCGGATGAGAATCACCCGGGCACAAGTCACCGTTCAATCCGTAGGATATGTCTGGGACCCCCCGCCTTTGCGGGAGCATTAAAATACAGACTATGTTCTATAGATCCTGGGGTTATTGTCCTGAAAATGAAACGACATAAGTAAGACTACGCTTGTAAAAAAAAGGGGGAGCGGAAAGGGGGAGGGGGGTATGAACAATTTTAATAAATGTACAAGTTGAGAAATTAAATTAGAGAAAGCCGTATTGAAAATAAATCCCTTTAGGGAGTTGACTGACAACGCCAGAATCATGGATGGAACACTTTTCTATGGAGCAGCGTCTGGTCTGATCTCTGGAGCCATATTAAATAGCAGTGACCGAGAAGAAGAGATTAATGTAGCTCAGGCTGGATTTAGACAGGGAAGAGGAACAAGAGATCATATATTCAACATGCGTTTAATAATAGAGAAGTGTAGAGAATTTAATGTAAATCTGTTCTTATGTTTTGTGGATTATTCAAAAGCATTTGACTGTGTACAACATCAGAAGCTTTGGGAAATCATGAGGAATATGGGCTTTCCATCACATATAGTGCAGCTCATTAAAATGCTCTATCAAGACCAACAAGCAGCAGTCAGAATAGATGGAGAGACATCAGACTGGTTTGGCATCAAGCAAGGAGTCCGTCAGGGGATGTGTGCTGTCACCGTATTTGTTCAACCTGTACGCCGAAAATATAATGAGAAATGTAAGAGATGATATAAACAAGGAACAATATGATGCCCTAAACATCGGTGGTCATGAAATACCAGAAATTCGTTATGCTGATGATACAGTATTACTATCAACATCACAAAAAGGTTTAGAAAACTTATTAACCTCACTCCAAAGAAATAGTGAAAATCATAACTTATTTCTTAACATAGCAAAAACAAAGATAATGCATACAAACAAAACTGCCATGGAGAAGGAAATATATGTTAATGAGGAAAGATTGGAAGTGGTGGAAAATTTCGAATATCTTGGGTCACTGGTTACCAACAATGGTGACACAATGAAAGAAATTAAACGGCGACTATCAATTGCTCTTCAAAGACTAAAACAACTGAATAAATTATGGAATTGTACTGATAGAACTACAAAGGTCAGATTTTTAAGAGCATGCATCTTTCCCATTGCAACATACGCCTGTGAGACCTGGACACTTACTAAACAAGCGGAACAGCGCATAAATGCATTTGAATATAAATGTTACAGACAGGTTCTAAGAATATCTTGGGTAAAGAAAAGAACAAATGCATCCATACTTCAAGAGCTGAATATTGAAGAGGGTTGGCTAGTAAAGACAATAAAACAAAGAAAATTGAAATATTTTGGTCACTTGAAACGTCATGGAAGTCTCGAGAGAACAATAATGGAGGGGTATATGCCTGGGAAGAGAGGAAGAGGAAGGCCAAGGAGAAGATGGGTGCAGGATGTGGCAGATGATCTCCAGATGGGTGTATCAGACGCAGGACATCTTGCTCAGGATAGGAAGGTTTTCCGGAGGGTTGTTATGGCAGCGAGGTTCCGCGAGGGACATGCTACTGAATGAATGACCGAGATATCACTTTCGCCTTGGTGGCCAGAACTGTTGAAATGGAAAAACAGAGATTTAGAAGCTTTGTTATTAATATCCACACCATGTTCACCGAAGCGGTCCACTAGCTACCTACCGGTGTCCCCAGTATGTGCTTATTTACGTTCGTGTGTGTGAGTGTGTGGTGTGTGTGTGTGTGTGTGGTGTGTGTGTTTGTGGTGTGTGTGTGTGTGTGGTGTGTGCGTGTGTGTGTGGTGTGTGTGTGTGTGTGTGTGTGTGTGTGTGACCAGAGTGACACTCTGGGGTAAATAGAGGAACGTCGCTGTAGCTACAGAGTTACGTGGGAACGGCGACACAGGCGGACAGTATCTTATCAGCTGTCCGTACTGGTGGCAGATCACTTATGGTTTATAATTGTGTGCAATGACGCTGGTTCACATCTCCCGACTTTACCTTTATATATAAATCTCTCTCCTTCTCTCTCTCTCTCTCTCTCTCTCTCTCTCTCTCTCTCTCTCTCTCTCTCTCTCTCTCTCTCTCTCTCTCTCTCTCTCTCTATGGGGTTTGGAGGCAACAGGGGTGGGGTGGGAACTGAGACAGACATCAGAGAGAACGCATTTACTCCAGCACAAAATGATGTATGAATGACTTTATTGAACTGTGCACCGTTTCTTCTCTAGGACGGTTTCCCTAACGATGGGGGCGTTCTCTACAAACTTTCGAATCTCTGCGGGCAGCAAGTTCGTGTGACTGTATGTATTGACGGTCATTCCTTTGACATAGAGTTTCATCGTCGGCACGGTGAACACCAGCTCTTTCCTGCAGAGTTCTTCGTCCTGGCTGCAGTCCACAGCGGCGAAGGCATGGTTCTCTTTCCTGGTAACATGTGCAGCCTGGGGAGACAACAGGCGATCAGAGACAGAGTCAGGGGATCAGAGACTGAGTCAACGTCAGGGGATCAGAGACTAAGTCAGGGGATCAGAGACAGAGTCAGGAGATCAGAGACTGAGTCAGGGGATCAGAGACTGAGTCAGGGGATCAGAGACTGAGTCAGGGGATCAGAGACAGAGTCAGGGGATCAGAGACTGAGTCAGGGTATCAGAGACAGGGGATCAGAGACTGAGTCAGGGGATCAGAGACAGAGTCAGGGGATCAGAGACAGAGTCAACGTCAGGGGATCAGAGACAGAGTCATGGGATCAGAGACAAAGTCAGCGTCATGGGATCAGAGACAGAGTCAGGGGATCAGAGACAGAGTCAGGGGATCAGAGACTGAGTCAACGTCAGGGGATCAGAGACTGAGTCAAGGGATCAGAGACAGAGTCAGGGGATCAGAGACTGAGTCAGGGGATCAGAGACAGAGTCAGGTGATCAGAGACTGAGTCAGGGGATCAGAGACAGAGTCAGGGGGTCAGAGACTGAGTCAGGGGATCAGAGACAGAGTCAAAGTCAGGGGATCAGAGACAGAGTCAGGGGATCAGAGACAGAGTCAACGTCAGGGGGTCAGAGACAGAGTCATGGGATCAGAGACAGAGTCAGCGTCATGGGATCAGAGACAGAGTCAGGGGATCAGAGACAGAGTTAGGGGATCAGAGACAGAGTCAGGGGATCAGAGACAACGTCATGGGATCAGAGACTGAGTCAACGTTAGGGGATCAGAGACTGAGTCAACAACAGGGGATCAGAGACTGAGTCAACGTCAGGCAAAGAAAGTATTAGTAAACAACAGGGGATCAGAGACTGAGTCAACGTCAGGCAAAGAAAGAATTAGTAAACAACAGGGGATCAGAGACTGAGTCAACATCAGGAAAAGAAATAATTAGTAAACAACAGGTGATCAGAGACTAAGTCAACGTCAGGCAAAGAAAGAATTAGTAAACAACAGGGGATCAGAGACTGAGTCAACAACAGGGGATCAGAGACTGAGTCAACGTCAGGCAAAGAAAGAATTAGTAAACAGCAGGGGATCAGAGACTGAGTCAACGTCAGGCAAAGAAAGAATTAGTAAACAACAGGGGATCAGAGACTGAGTCAACATCAGGGAAAGAAATAATTAGTAAACAACAGGTGATCAGAGACTAAGTCAACGTCAGGGAAACAAAGATTTAGTAAACATTGGGGGATCAGAGAAAACGACAGGGGATCACAGATTGATTAAGAGGGAATCTAAGTAAACAACAGGGTTTAGAGATTGAGTAAACAACACTGAATCAGAGACTGAGTAAACAAGAGGGGATTAGAGATTGAGTAAACAAGAGGGGATTAGAGATTGATTACACGACAGGGATTCCGAGACTGAGTAAACAAAAGATGATAATAGATTAAGTAAACGACAGGGAATCACAGACTGAATGAAGAACAGGGAATCACAGATTGGGCAACAACATGGAATCACAGATTGAGGAGATCACCGACTAAATAAACAACTAGGGATGAGAGATTGAGTAAACACAAGGGTATCTGATTTGCAGTTAACAACTGGTTTTGAGAGATTGAGTAAACAGGGTTCAACTGTGGAGGAGACATTTGGTAAATAACACAAGACTGTGGAAAAAGCTATTTATAATAAATTCAATAAACATGCAACTGTAGATAACAAGTATTTTTTGGCAGTTTTAGTAAAACAGAACAGTAGTGAAAAAGTGATTTGGTCGTATCTTCGGTAAAACAAAACTGCACATAACATGCGATCTGTCACAGTTTTAGTAAAACAGAACTGTAGAAAAAAAGTATCTGCTCATATCTTTATTAAACAGAACTGTAGATAAAAGATATTTTTTCACAGCTTTAGTAAAAAATAACTGCAGATGAAAAGTAATTTGGCAGCATCTTTAGTAAAACAGAACTGCAGATAAAATGTATCCGGTCACATCTTTAGTAAAACAGAAATGTCGAGAAAGCAATGTATTACATAGTCTGTGACAACAGAAAACATAGACACTTAGATGAATTCATCTGTATTTCTGTGTGAAGGTTTCCACGGTGGCCAAGTCGATAGGAAGCTTACCTGCAGTCCTAACAGTCGTGTAGTCAAACCTGACGAATGTGGGTAACTGGTTTTCTTCTGACATACAGCAGGTAATTTCCGCTGAGCTTCTTCTTCTTCTGTGCCTTCACTGGCTGTAATCTCCTGAGGAAAGTTCTGGGTGTTCGTCCATCTTCAGACTTTAGTCTTGCTCCAAAAACTGAGTGTTGCGTTCACATCCGTTTCACAGATCTGGCTTATTTTATATGGACACTCGAGTGACTCGCTAGCCTCTCAGACGGTTGTACTGCGACTTCTAAGAATTCACCCAATTAGTCGACTCCTACGACATGCTTGATGGGGAGTCAGTGGGTCTATTCTGGTTTGCAAACAATGGGGCCCTTGAATTTACACTGGGATCCCCTGAAGTAAGGGAGACCATATGGACTACAGCAAACAGCCAGTCTCCATTAATGAACCTTATGGAGGAAGCACCATACACATATTGGGCCTTGCAGTGAGAACGTGATCGTGTACTAGTGACTGTTTGTATGAATGAGGAGAAACAACAGGCAGTGAGAACGTAATCTTGTACTAGTGACTGTTTGTATGGATGAGGAGAGACAACAGACAGTGACAACGTAATCTCGTACTAGTGACTGTTTGTATAGATGAGGAGAAACAACAGGCAGTGACAACGTAATCTTGTACTAGTGACTGTTTGTATAGATGAGGAGAAACAACAGGCAGTGAGAACGTAATCTTGTACTAGTGACTGTTTGTATGGATGAGGAGAGACAACAGGCAGTGACAACGTAATCTCGTACTAGTGACTGTTTGTTTGGATGAGGAGAAACAAAAGGCAGTGACAACGTAATCTCGTACTAGTGACTGTTTGTATGGATGAGGAGAAACGACAGGCAGTGAGAACGTGATCGTGTACTAGTGACTGTTTGTATGGATGAGGAGAAACGACAGACAGTGAGAACGTAATCGTGTACTAGTGACTGTTTGTATGGATGAGGAGAAACAACAGGTAGTGACAACGTAATCGTGTACTAGTGACTGTTTGTATGGATGAGGAGAAACAACAGGCAGTGAGAACGTGATCGTGTACTAGTGACTGTTTGTATGGATGAGGAGAAACGACAGACAGTGAGAACGTAATCGTGTACTAGTGACTGTTTGTATGGATATAGGGAGACAACAGACAGTGAAAACGTCATCGTGTACTAGTGACTGTTTGTATGAATGAGGAGAAACGACAGGCAGTGAGAACGTAATCGTGTACTAGTGACTGTTTGTATGGATATAGGGAGACAACAGACAGTGAGAACGTGATCGTGTACTAGTGACTGTTTGTATGGATGAGGAGAAACAACAGGTAGTTACAACGTAATCGTGTACTAGTGACTGTTTGTATGGATGAGGAGAAACAACAGGCAGTGACAACGTAATCGTGTACTAGTGACTGTTTGTATGGATGAGGAGAAACGACAGACAGTGAGAACGTAATCGTGTACTAGTAACTGTTTGTATGGATATAGGGAGACAACAGACAGTGAAAACGTCATCGTGTACTAGTGACTGTTTGTATGAATGAGGAGAAACGGCAGGCAGTGAGAACGTGATCTTGTACTAGTGACTGTTTGTATGGATATAGGGAGACAACAGACAGTGAAAACGTCATCGTGTACTAGTGACTGTTTGTATGGATGAGGAGAAACGACAGGCAGTGAGAACGTAATCGTGCACTAGTGACTGTTTGTATGGATGAGGAGAAACAACAGGTAGTGACAACGTAATCGTGTGCTAGTGACTGTTTGTATGGATGAGGAGAAACGACAGACAGTGAGAACGTGATCTTGTACTAGTGACTGTTTGTATGGATGAGGAGAAACAACAGACAGTGAGAACGTAATCGTGTACTAGTGACTGTTTGTATGGATATAGGGAGACAACAGACAGTGAAAACATAATCTTGTACTAGTCACTGTTTGTATGGATGAGGAGAAACGACAGGCAGTGAAAACATGATCATGTACTAGTGACTGTTTTTATGGATGAGGAGAGACAACAGGCAGTGAGAACGTGATCTTGTATTAGTGACTTTTTTGTATGGATGAGGAGAAAAGACAGACAGTGAGACCGTTATCTTGTACTAGTGACTGTTTGTATGGATCAGGAGAAACGATGTTCAAATATGAGACCTGAGTTCCGTGAGTAAGCTGATCAGTGTATACATACAGGAGATGACAGAGATGTTGGGGTTGTGTTTATAGTATCCAAACAGACGAGTGATACATGTACATATCATTGGGACCCACCTTAGGTCCAGCTCCTGACATTCCGGCTGAAGGAAGAGACAAAGGGAGATAGAGGGAGAGAGGCAAAGATGGAGAGAGGGACAGAGGAAGAGAGGCAAAGAAGAGGAAAGGGACAGAGGACGAGAGGCAAAGAGGGAAAGAGGGACAGAGGGAGAGAGGCAGAGAGGAGGAAAGGGACAGAGGAAGAGATGCAAAGAGGGAGAGAGGGACAGAGGGAGAGAGGCAAAGAGGGAGAGAAGGACAGGGGGAGGGAGGCAGAGAATGAGAGAAAAGCAGAGAAAGAAAAAGAGGCTAAGAAAAAGAAACATGTGGAGAGGCGAGAAAGAGAGACAGATGTAGAAAGAGAGAGGCAGCGAAAGACAGGGAAATAGATTAGGAGATAGAAATAAAGAGGCAGGGAAACAGAGATGCGGATAGAAAGTAAAAGAAAGAGGTAGATAGAGAAAGTAAGGAGTAGACAAAGGCACAGAGAAAGTTGGAAAGAGGCAGTGGCAGAGACAGATAAAGAGAGGGGCAGAAAGAGAAAGAGAGTTAATCAGAGACAGATAAAGAGAGGGGCAGAGAGATACAGAAAGAGAGAGAACTGGAGAGAGAGGAGAAAG